GACTTCAACTCCCAGAATTCCTCCTCTCGCTCTTCAACTTGATGATGTGCGGACAGGCGGGGGGAGGGAGCTGGAACCGGTTCTAAATGGCACTGTAGGTTTGTGGAACCTCTTCTATAGAAGAGGCTAGAACTGGTAGGAACCCACCCCTGAACACAACCATATAGCTATGATGCACCAAGCAAGAATCTTATCTGGAGAAGTATTGTTCTATACTTAGTATTTAGTATTTAGCAGTATTTATTTTGACCGGACCAGAAGAGAAAACAAAAAGGCCAAACTTCTTTAGACAAAAACCTATCAGTCCTTCCAATTTAGTTAACTAGAACTCTCAAAATTCCTCAATTCTGCAGGTGAAAGAGCGCCTCACTCAATGTTAGAACATATATTTTGCAGGCGTAAAGTTATTTCTAGCTTTTCCATTTTAAAAATGTATTTGGCTGATTGTGGAATTTATAACCATGGCATGCCAGTCTGTAACATTTTACAATCAGATATTAAACACTATTGAATAACAGCACTGAATAAAGCAAATCAATAATGCATAAACAACCCCCTCCAAAGTCCTCAAGCTGTAGTGGTAAAATGCAAAACAAAACAAAAAACCTGGATGGGAATGCTTGTTTATAAAAAGAGGTCCTTGATTTCTCTTAAGGTCAGCATATAAAGGCAAAGGCCACTTCTTGGTTGCAGCAAGGTCTTGGCCTACTTGTTTCTGCCTGTAATAAGGTCCTCTTAGTAATGCCAGTAATAAGCCCATAGATGACAAACACCACTTTCAGCTAGTAAGATGGTAGGTAAGTTGTTCCTTTAGGTAAGCAGGACTCAAGACATAAGAAGACTTGTTTGTTAAAAACTGTACAAGAAGTTAGTGCAAGCACCACATGTTCCTAGAAGGACACACAAGAGAAGATTGGTTGCTGCATTTTGGACCCATCACAGACACAATTTCCTGCAAAGATTCCTGCACATAAAATGCATTCTGGTGATCTATTTGAGAGGTGGCTAGCTTATGGCTCACAAAGGCCAGGTCAACATTGCCCTTAGAAGGGCAGAGGTTAGTAAGTGAAGCACATCTAAGCGGAATTAAGCATGCCTCTTACCACTTTGCTCCCATCCAGAGTATAAGCCCTCTCCTTCAGGGGGAATGTAACTCACTCCAAGGTTGGTAACATCCCTTCCAAAGAATAAAATTATCGCCAACCCTCAGATTGTAGCTTCACTTTTAATCCCTCATCCAGGCTGCATTCCAGTCCAAGCAGGAAGTAACCATAATAGTCTCTGGACCCGCTGGTCGTTACCTATAAAGCCCTACATGGCATCGGACCTGGGTACCTGAGAGACCGCCTCCTGCCGATTACCTCCCATAGACCGATTAGATCTNAAGAAAGGGAAGGAAGAAAGGGAAGGAAGAAAAGAGATGGAAGAAGGAAGGGGATGCGGAGGGAGGGAGGAAGGAGGAAGGGAAAAAGGAAGAGAGGAAGGGGGAGGAGGAGGAGGATGGCTTGAGTTCCTAGTTGCCTCTCCAGGCCAGATAGCTTGAAATCCTTGTAATGCCAGGTGGGCTCTTCCTTCTGCCCCTCCTCCCCTGAAAACTAGCTTTTGATTGTTATTATAATTACCCAGCCTCTATAAAGTTGAACTTCAAAGGCATGTGGATGAAAGTGACTTGATCATCATCATACTGGCAGACCAGGGATCTTCTGGTTTCCTTCTTGCTGGATCAGGCTTCCTCCTGCCGCCGAGGAGGGGAGAGGCTTCTTCTCTGCCCCTCTTAAAACAAACATATAGGAGAAAATACGGCTTTCCTAATCCCCGAGTAAACCTGCGTGAGATGGCACTTACCTGGCACTTACCTCTCCTGGCACTTACCCCACAAGTTCTGCCATGATGGGGGGAAAAATCCATTTTTACTTTTCAACTAAATTTCATTACAGAGCAGGAATCAATCCAGTTTCCTTCTAAACCAGTGTTTCTCAACCTTGGCAACTTGAAGATGTCCGGACTTCAACCCCCAGAATTCCCCAGCCAGCATTCGCTGGCTGGGGAATTCTGGGGGTTGAAGTCCGGACATCTTCAAGTTGCCAAGGTTGAGAAACACAGTTCTAAACAAATCTTGTTTCAAGTTCCTGCCCTCTCCCCACCCACCCCTTCCTGCTCTGGACACCCACAACTTACACTTTAAGTGTACCCCAACTGGGTTATTAGTCCTGCCCAATCAGAGTATTTGAGTCCTACGTAGCAACAAGATTAACAACATATTTGAGACGTAACATCCTAGTAGAGATTGCTGATCAGGGGTGGGTTTCTACCAGTTTGGACCGATTCGGCTGAACCGGTATTAGTTTGCCGGGCTGGTTTGCCAGAACCAGCAGTGACCCAGGCTTGCCATGCCTCCGAACCGGCTCCCTGGGAGGCGTGGCACGTTAAGCGCGCGCGAGCAAAGCGAGGAAGTTATGCGGAAAATTGCACGCGCACCGAACCGGCAGTAATCCCATCTGCAAACCATCCCAGTTGCTGATGTATGGAAATAATTAGCATAGGAGTCGAATCAAACAAACTTTATCCCAAGTCTACTACTTACAATTTATCTTCTTCTAAATCAGTGTTTCTCAACCTTGGCAACTTGAAGATGTCTGGACTTCAACTCCCAGAATTCCCCAGCCAGCGAATGCTGAGTTGAAGTCCAGACATCTTCATGTTGCCAAGGTTGAGAAACACTGTTCTAAATTATAAATTGTAGAGACGTAGTGGCTCAGTGGCTAAGACACTGAGTTTGTCGATCAGAAAAAGTTGGCAGTTTGAATCCCTAGCGCCGCATAACAGAGTGAGCTCCCATTACTTAAATAGGAACCACCTCTGGTGGGAAGCAATAGCAATAGCAATAGCAATAGCAA